TTGGCCAAGAGCTGCGCGGGGAGACCAGACTTCCTGCCTTGCGATGGACTCTCCATCTGCGCTACGCACAGCCACGGGAAGTGCTTCAAGCTGCACTGGTGCTGCCACTTGGGCTGGTGTCACTGTAAGTTAGTTTCCCGTGCTTATTTCATAGCTTATCTGTGTTCCCAGAAATCAATCTCAGTGCCACTGATAGAAAAAGAAAATAAGCAGGGTATTTGGTAGTCGTGTCCATGTTGTGGATGCAGAACTGTTACTGTACATCTGCTGTAAAAAGGACAAAAATATGGCAGATACTAACTCGATGTGGGTAAGTTTAGCTGATGAATATTAGATATAATGTGGCACAGAAGGGATTTTGGCATCAATATGACTCCTTTGACGCGCAAAGGGAACATTTACTGCCCGCGGAAAGTGCTGCTATTTCATGTTCTGAATAGATTTTAAAGTCTCCCCGCGTTTATTCCAATAATATCATATCAAACTACATCAAATGTAAGCTAGATTGGAGTAAAAACCCTCCAGCAGACGCCCTGGTATAAATAGTTTATGTCGTCTAAACAGTGGAGGCTGAAGAATTCATGAGCAGGGAAATGTCACATTGTGGTTTCAGTGTTTATCACTGTTCATCTGGTTTTGTTGGCTGTATCAGTGTGATGACACTGACATCACACACCCTGAATCATCACTTTCATTTCTGTTTTTAAAGGCTAAGTCTTGTGATGTTCTGTATTTTTATCCACAAGGCCAGAAAGCAACCATGAATTGATTCAACTGTTAAGTCTGATACAGCTTCGTGCTCTGTGCCACAAACCTCCACTGTTCAAACACAATCACATCTCTTCTTTATTACATGAACACTGGCACTGGTTTCTGCAAACACTCACCAGGGCAGAAAATGTGTATTAATAGAATCCAACAAAATTCACTCCTTTTTTCTCTCTCTTTTTTGTCAACTCTTTTATGAAATTACTGAACCTTTTTTTGTTATTTTTATAAAACCCAACTATGCCTTTGTGACCCATTTTGAAAGATTTCCATCTTCAGAAAGGAGGATCTGGGATGGGCTTGGGGCTGAGTGCTGCAGACAGGGAGGCAAAGCAGGGAAGTACTAGACTAACACATTTTTGGTTTAGTTTTTTTCATTGGATTTCTTGACAATCAGAGGGGGAAAAAAATGTAGTCTGACAGCAGGCTCATCCTTTAAAGGAGATTTTCTGTGTTGAGACCACAATGCTCATCGCATACTCGCATGTTATCACGCAATCAGTCAGATTCAGCTGCTGCTCCTCAGTCACAAGGCAAATGTTTGGTAATATTAAGTAAAGTCTGTAGTCTCATAGTAATTTTATTTACACTGAGAGTTAAATTGTCTGTGTTGGGAATGGAGTGCACGGCTGCAGCTCCACTCCAACGCGCACAATTTCCACTTTGAGAAGTGTCAGTGGCATTTTCAGCATCCTTGTGCCTCAGACACTTTTACCGCATTTGAACCCTTCTCGACCTGACACTTCGACACCATCGCGGAATTCCAATGGCTGCGCCTAAACCTGACAGGGTGTCCGTCTCTTTGCGCCGCCCTAATTTATCCCCATGCCAGGGCTGCCCTGAAAATCCTCAGATCAGTGTAAAACACAATCACCATCCACTCTGCACCAGTCACTCAGGGCTTATGGTGTGCAACTGCAGAAGTCACATTGTAATCTTTGCCGTGTAATCATTGGATTTAGATACCCGCCTCCATCCAGAATGAGCCAAGCGATTTGAAATATCAGATGTGGCAGAAAAATGATGAGTTCTTTCCAAGTGTTTATTACAAGCCACATCCGGCATTTATGATTCCACGCAAAGCCTCTTCAGTGTTACATCATTTGTAAACATTTAGACTTGCTCCTCCTTCCTGTTTGAAATATTCGGCACCTCTGCTGCAAAATGCCCTTTGTACGTATCCTTTAATTCAGGCTTGCTATTCCATAGTAGAAAGAACCAGCCACATCATAATGGAGCCTCTCACCTTCTCAGTTCTTTCCACTGCAATTCACAGGTTCCCCCTCGCAGGACAGTCATGCACCACAGTGAAAATAAACCCGCTTAGACTGCTGAATCAGGCAGAACCAGGGCACCCAGTGAGAAAAGTATACCAGCGTGCCTTTGCATGCAATGCCTGCCTGCCTGCCTGCTCGGCTCAGCCCGGCTCACGCTTCTTTCTAGTGATGCATAATAACGCCGGATGCAAAAGAGCGAAATGTTGTAACGCCCTTATCTCATCACGTTTTCATTTTGAATGTGCCTATGACTGTCGCCTGGAGTATAAACTTGTTCTGAAGCTGATAATTGTGCATTCACCACAGGGAGCCTTGCTAGACTGCCTTTTTAATTACATTTTTAATAGGTTCCCAGGAAAACAAATACAAAAGGTCAGTGTGTAGTAAGGCTTGGCTCAGCATTTAAATTCTCAAGCACAAATTATTTCCATTATCATACCTGTGGAGCGGTATGGGCTGATTACCTGTGACTTAATTCCTCGCTTCTCCTATTTCCTGTCTGCAATCTGAACGGCTCCATAATGTCGTCCTTTCGGTTTCAGTTCTCAAAGGAGGCAAATCATCTTTTCGCAGCTTACAGCCGGAAAATTATGTCGCCGCTTTGACGGCCTTCCAGTTTTTTCCACTTAGTTGTAGCTTTGTTGGAACCTCTGGCAGAGAAAATGGGAATAACTGGAATTGGATGTAGGTGGAGGCAGTGTTCCCAGCTGGTGACAACATCAGTCCAAGCCTCTCATTAGCAGTAATTAGCTGTGTTTAGTGTCACCGCCAATATGTCATGTCTGATGAGAGCTTTTGCTCACAGCAGCACTAGAACCACCTGGTCTGAATGTTTTGTTTTTTTTTTCCCTCTCACTTTATCCTCTACTAACTGATTACAATTACCAGGCAGAGCAATGAATTACTCATTAAGAAAGTCTAACAGAGTCTATAATGAGTCCTGAACAGTCTTGTCAGTCTGCTCGTACTCCGTCGGCACTAATTTTAAATGTTAGAACTTGTACTTCTCGTGTAGATACAAGAAAGTGGGATCTTTTGTGTCAGATGTCCTCAGCAGCCTCATCTGTCACACCACGCAGCTGTAGCTCGGATCTGTGTCTGAAGGGAAATATGGAAGTTTATTGGATATAAGCCCGCCCTATATTTATTGATTTGGTGACCAGTGCTGAATCATAAAAAAAAAAACAAAAAAAAAAAACCCCATCACCTATTATTAAAGGATCGATACATTGTCAGCACCGGCCCGAGGGGATGTTTTTGATTGATTGTTCGTGTTTGGGAACCACATCACTTCGATCACTTTAACTGCTGGTCTGGCGGTGATTGAAGCAGAGCGGCACCAGCACAGAAGTTCAGCAAGTTTGTTCTTTTGTTTGAATGGAAAGGTTTGGGTTTTCTCAAGTCTGTGTGAACACCACACCGCGTCCCCTGTTAGTGGTACTGTCATCTCCCCGCAGCTCTGAGAAGAAACGCTGTTTGAGTTGAGAACAAAGAGGAAGAGGAGAGACTGTAACTTTATGCTATACTCACTTGATCTGGCTAACTTAGACTGTTGAAGTATAACATTGACTTGGAGCTGAACTTTGAAAGACAAGTTTTTTATGGGAAAAAGTCACTTTTTTGAAAAACTATGACATCCATCCATCAGCTATGCCCACTTTATCCTGCATAGGGTCATTGAGGGCAGGAGTCTATCCCAGCAGACATTTAGCAAGAGGCAGCGTACACCCTGGACAGGCCGCCAGTCCACTGCAGGCTAACAGAGAGAGAGAGAGAAAACCATGCATGCTCACATTCCAACTTATAATCACCAGTTAACCCATAATGCATGTCTGAGGATTGTGGAGGGAAGCAGGAGCAGCTGGAAAAGCCCCTCGAAGGCACAAATAGTGTATGCAAACTCCACACAGAGAGGCTGACCAGCAGCAGGTTCAAACCCAGAACTTAATTGCTGTGAGGGGACAGTGTTAACCACTGTTAACCCTTTTCCACCGAGCTGCTTCCAGTGCTAGTTCGGAGCCAGAGCCTGACCAGTTCTTTGTGTTTGCACCGCATAAGCACCGGCTCCAGGTACTCAAAACTTGGCAAGCACCAACCCTTTGCTGGGCCAGAGCTAAGAACTGAGTACGTCAGGGGCTGGGGGCGGAGTTATCGCGACCACCGAGACCAATGGAAACACAGAATGGGACCCACAAGCGGTGATTTGTATCGTTTTCGCCAGGACATCCCTGGTTTGATCGCAGATGTATTGTAGTGAGTCCCAGGACACATGGAAGTTTTACACAAACTGTTGCGTGCTGAAATCCGGTACAGTTGTGTCCTACCAGTAGCACCACAGTGGTGGAAAACGGTACTTTTATAACTTCGGTGTACTGCGGTATTTACGCTTAGAAATGCAGTCTCTTCATGAAAAACATAGCGCACCTACATGAGTTGTTTATTCCACTCATAGAAAAGACTCATCTTGGACAAATCTGACATTAGAACGCCCTCGTTTACTCTTTTTAAAGTCATTTTTGGTCGCACACTGCAACCTGCAATATAGGGCGTTCGGGGAACATCGGTAAACTGTAGCGTCTATCGATAAGAAAATGTTCAGCAAGTCATACGTTTTGCCTGTGACAAGGTGGAAAGTGCAACCAAAGGAGAAAGTTGGTCGCACCAGAAAAACAAAGGTTAGTCTGGAGCCCTGTCGGGACTTTCCGAGCATTGTTCAGTAAACTACATATGCAGTGAAGTATGACATGTTTCTAACTTGACCCCTGGCCAATGGAAACGCAAACAAGTTCTCAGGTGGTACGAGATTTGAACCAACTAAGCACTGGCATCAGCAGTAAACTAGTACCCGGTTCTTCTTGGTGGAAAAGGGGCATGTCCCACCCAAACTATGATACAGTTCATCCAAATGAAACCCAAGTAACTTAAAGACACCCCGTTTTGTTTACCTTGTTACCATGCCTATATGTTGTGTTTTATATGCTAGAGCCACCATCGTGAGCAAAACAAGCAGTCAAAACCATGGCTGAGCGTTTCTACTTTGAAACTGCAGCGTACCAATGACAGGTTCAAAAACACAGAT